GGGAAGCCAAGGAGCGGGTCGGATCCCTTTCTGGCGCGCAGGCGGGGCCCTCGGAGCCGGGAGGCACTGAGCAGCCGGCTGTCAGTGTCTTAACCTCTCTGTGCGCTTCCCCATCTAGGGCTCAGGGACAGGGAGCATGTCAGAATGGATGTCACAGGCTTGTGGAACTTCCGTTTAGCGGTAACAAACGTGTGCTTAGGTCTCCGTCGGCATGCCTGGGCGCCTGTGAGCCCAAAAGCCACCCCTCTCTCCCCTCTAGGGGGTGTGAAAATCTACACACGTGTGATGTCCCTGACTAAAGTGACCTTCCTGGGGTTGTGCAGTGCCCAACCTGCTCCACTGTCCGTGACAGCCTGCTTATGGGGCAGCCACTATTTTAGGCGCTGTACACTCCTGACAGCAGCCCTCTGAGAAGTCTGATTTCCGCTTTGCCGGCATCTCAGTGTAGGCCTTACCCGATCCCAGCCTGTTTTCTCATTTGAAGCTGGAGGCCAGGCGCCCTGGCTCAGGCCTGAAATCCCAGCGTTTTGGGAGACCGAGGTGGGAGGATTGCTTGAGGCCAGGAGTTCAAGGCCTGGCTGGGCAACATAGCAAGACCCCGTCTCTACAAAAAGTAAAACAATCAGGCCTAGCTACTTGGGAGGCTGAGGCAGAGGGTTGTTTAAGCCCAGGAGTTCGCAGCTGCAGTGAGCTCTGACCGTGCCACTGCACTCCAGCCTGGGCCACACAGCAAGACCCTTGAGCTGTTTTTTAAAAAACCAATACACGCAATTGGGGGTGACCTGCAGGCTGGTCCTGGAGCTGGTGCCCGTGGACAGCACTGTTTGGGGTGGGGGGCGGGATGGGGGGGCTTAAAGATCCTGGCTGTGCTGTGGGGGGATTGTGAACCTACTCCCTTCCCCCCCAAGGTGGACAGCCACCGCCCCCAGCACCAGCGGCGACTGGACAGCATGCGGTAAGTCTACGCTCCAGACCGGGGCTCCCAGCCCCTTCCTGGAGACTCAGATTTCGGGATTGAGGAGCTCTAGCCCCAAGCCGTGCCTCCATAGCGCTCCTAGGGGGCGAAGGTGGATCCACTCCACACCCTGTGTAGTCAGGGCCAAGAGAGTAGGAACCCTTTTCCTGGGAGGCCTGGGAAGGCGTCTTCAAGGGGGGACGTTGCAGCTGGGCTTTGAAGGACGCATAGAAGCTTAATGTGAACGTCTGGATTTGCTCATCTCTGCCCACACCCACTGTGTCCAGCAGAGTCCATGTCAGCCAGCAGCGGGTGAGCTTACACCCTCCCACCCACAGCCTCCATTTGTTTTTCTGACCCCCAGGACGTATGAACAGGAGGCCTTGAAGAAGAAGTTTACACGAGCCCGAGATGTAGAGTCCTCTGACGACGATGGTTATGACTGGGGCCCGGCCACTGACCTGTGACCCCTCCCAGGTTGCCAGCTGGCCCATCCTCCCGCTGCCTCCCTGGAGCTGGGACTCAGTTTCCCGTACAGAACCTGGCCTCCCTCTGCCTTATTTTTTTGAGAGACAGGGTCAGGCTGGAGTGCAGTCGGGTGCATTCATAGTTCATTGCAGCCTCGACCTGCTGGGCTCGGCTGATCCTCCCGCCTCAGCCTTCCAAGTAGCTAGGACGACAGGCACGCATTTTAAAATCTTCTGTAGAGACGGGGTCTTGTTATGTTGCCCAGGCGGGTCCTGAACTCCCAGCCTCAAGCAGTCGATCCTCCTGCCTCAGCCTCCTGAGTGGCTTGGACTGCAGGCGTGAGCCAGAGGCCCCGTCCTGGTCTCTAATAAAGAGTATTTTCACAGCACTGGCTTCTAGGGGCTACCAGGAGGGATGGGGTGGGGAACAGGAGGGCCCAGCCCTCCTCTCGGCCGTCCCTGCCCCACAGACTGCGACTGCGACTGCCCACCGACACGTTTTAATTTTCTGCGACGGGCAGCACCAGGCCCGGGGCCC